CTGCGCATCATTTATAATTTTTTTTATTTGATTAATTATTAGTTAATTTTTTAAATATAGTTAATCTCTTCTAATAATTCTTATTAATTAGACTAAATAATAAATAGCAAATATTTTTTTGAAATAAAATTCATACCTTGTAATAATATTTTTACTTATAAATATTTTATTACAATTTATATTTAATATATCTCAGACATCTCAAAGATTAATCATATTGCCATAATGTGTAAACACAATAATTAAGATGCGCAATTACATCTCGATTTTTTTGGGCAATATTATTTCCATTTGTCAGCGTATGGGGGATAACCAGCTCGCGTTATACAATGTACCGTTGGCGAGTACAAGGGATCTGATCAAGCAGCATTGCATGGTAATTAGAGTAACGAAGCGGAGCTCTCCCTCGCTAACGATATCACGATACATGAGTGGTATCGCGACGATGAGTCGGGCAATCAGCTGGGCCGACAGATTGCCTTTTCGGTAACTCGTTACCCGATCGATTACTGCGCAAAGTAGCCGGCGAGGCATTAACAGTGCTAACAGCGACTAACCTACATTTCTACATTAGTGATGCCAATTATTTTAAAACTTTAGTCACGGTTCTGCGAGCCGTAACGAGAGTCAAGCCGCTAGTCCCTCCAACTTTTCTCTGCATTTCGTCCTTTTATATTTTCAACGCTCGCGCATTCTCTTAAACGAATTGGATTACCAGATTATTCCCGTCCGCAAGACTTCCCTGACTTGTCGTAAACTTCTCTTTCTCACACAAACAACTTGAAATCGATTTATTTTGTCCGTTCATCGAGCAAGTCAATCGAGTCTTGTACTTCATGTTAGATATCTTCGGGATATTATTCAGATTCCGAGTAACATTTTCGGGACGCGATTGACTTGTAATTATGGCTGGACTTCGTCGAAGCGTGCTTGAATAAATAATCACGTCCAACGGAGAAATGTCAGACTGACGAAAAGATTGGAAAACAACTACGAGCCGTCGGTTATATCGCGAGTCTCTTCTCTCTATATTCGATGTGATTCATAGATATTATGAACTCGGGAAAGCGTTCTCTAATTTCTTATTTATTGTATTTTTATACCGGCACTAGTTTAATATTCTTTTGTGTCAAGGATTTAACTCGCCATTAATGTTGGCGTTAATATACCGTAATAACGACGACGGCGACGTAGTAAATCGTTTTTATTGTTTGGAATTCCGCGAAATAATTACGGGAGACTTTTACGAATTTATTCCATCAAAATATGTGCTAGAAATATTGACTCGAGCTGTGCTGGAAAAAATTTGCAAACAGTAATTTATCAGGATATATCTTCTCTTCTGTGAATGACAGACAGTCAAGAATTTTATAAATCGCGATAAAAATTAAATTTTTTTGAATTATAATATACATGAAATACGATAATATGAAGAAATGCATTAGTTTAAAAAAATTTGCTGCACCTTTACTTCAGTTTAATGAACGTGCACTGTTACATGATTAAATCCGTAAAATTTATTGAATCCTTCAAATTTATTGAATTTCTAATTTTTTATATTCTCAGCGAAACGGACGATATTGCAATTCGAAGCGGTTTCATATCTCGTACAAGTTTTGTTTCGAAGAAGAGGCACACACGTATCCAATATGTGTGGAAAAATATGCTCGTGTCGAAAGATCGGTATTGATATCGCGTTGCACCGGGTGGTGTTTCCCGGTTCGAGTTCACCCTCGAACACACGGTGCAGCGTCTGACAGCTCCGAAATCCGTACGATCGCGAGCGACACGCTCGGGTAAATAGGCGGATGTTGCGGAAACGTCGACGCGACGGAAGAATACGTAAACAACGATCATCCCCGTCGTCGTCGTCATCGGTAATCGATTCTGCTCTGCTCGAATTACGTTTCGTTATTCGAAGTTACGACGAGATCCGGATAAAGAAGTCTCTCCTTTCGATTTACGGGAGCGTCAAGACGCTCGTTAGAAACGAGACTCGGAGAACAAATCCACCTTCACGGATCCCCCTTTTATTCTTCAAACATGACGTTGCGCTTCTGCGGGCTTATTCCGCGTCGTTGGGAGCGGCCGATCGATCGATCATTTCTCGCCAGCAGCAATTTCGGTCATGGCGATTGCACCGTACAATTCCGAACGAATGGAGAATGTTGGGAATTCGAACGGCGCTATTCTCTCATATCGCTTTTAATGCGCAACGATTCTTTTACACTTATTTTATATATAGGGGAAAGTAGGATAAAACCGGGTACTTTTTTGGATTTGTCTTCCTACAAAAAATCTGAGAGTAAAAAAAATTTTGCCGACCGTTAGTAGTCGTTAGTGAACCTTAAACTATGAGAAAATAAGGCTAGTTGCTGAAAAAAAAACTTTTGGTTACCAAGAATAACAAGATTTTGTGGAGAAGTCAAAGTACCCGGTTTTGTCCTACCAGGTAGGGTCAAACCCATTTGAAAATATGCAAAACATCGTGTAATTACAAAATCTAGATTTATTTTAATCAAAATACAATATAAAGATGTATTCTATTGACAAAAATCACAAATAAAGATATCCTCTTGTTCGACATTGCTGCCGGACTTCCTTATTTAACTTTTTAACTTTAGGGGTCTCAAAAAGCTTTTTTTTTAGTAGTTTCTTTTTCTGAGCATTAGTTTTCGTTTTCAACTGCTTTTTGTAGGGACACAAAGTCAGGATAACAGTTTTTCCTCTTTTCATTATATGAGATGTGTAAGTACCCGATTTTGCCCCAACATAATATTAAAAAAGAAATATTGTGTGCACAGGGGCACGGTTTGTTTTAAAATAATGATGGCGCCAATCTACAACTAATAACACAAGCTAGCCATAGATAGCAGCATTTATTACGAAAAAACAGGGGTACCCGGTTTGACCCGCCTACCCGGTTTTACCCAATTTTCCCCTATTGCTGTATTCGCCACCAGTTTCGATCCGATTAAAAATTCTTTGGCATCTTTTTTTCCCTAATATTATTATTAAAAACAAAGTTTATAAAAATAGAGAGAGAAAATATCAAACCACATTAACGATTTTATATTAATTACTCACTTTTCGCTCATCACACAAATAGAAAAATATAATTTATTATTATCCATTTTCGGAAAAAAATATAGAATATATCGGCAGATATTAATTACACGATACGAGAAACATATAATTCCATGATATTAGTTCGATATGATCCAGGAATTTAATTTCATCCTCCATTTGTCTTCCGATGATAACCGCAAAGTTTTCCACAATCTATGTTTGATTTAGTTTGCTCAAAGTTTTGTATATATCGTAGCTTATCGTAGTAAAAAGATAGAAAAATATGTTTTCGCCAGAGACTTTTCAATAAAAGACATCTGTGCCGTTCCTCAAGCCCGCCATGCTCAGAGACAAACGTAAATTCCTGAAGTATAACTATCGAGGAAACATAATAAACAACCGAAAGTGGATTTACACAAACCAGTAAAGGAACTTTACCTAGTTCTCTCTTTGTGCCTTTGATGAATAATACAACCAAGACACGATTCGGTGTAGGAAATCGAATTTACTTCATACTCACCGTAGCTATGAATTCTAATGAAGGAAGTAACAAACACATCCAGTACGGAATATATCTATGTTATCGCATTATTAAAGCTCGAGACCTACGTTCTTTGAAAAATTTTCTGAGACGTAGGCTTTTCAACTTTCGGACAATTTTTAATCAATTTGGAAAATTATTTGTCAAACTTGCTATGGAATTTTTTAATTAGCAAATCGCACGTTTTGCATTGTATTCTTAGATTTTATTGTGTTCCCCGGCCTTGAAACTTTTTTCCTTCGATTGTCACAATCGAAGAATACTCATGTTTAAAGACAATGTAAATAAGAAACCGGGCATCGATGCAGCGGTGGCGGTTCGTTTGAGAGTTGCAAGCTCGTGCACGGCACGCAACGCGGCTTACAGGCGGACGTGCATAAAGCACGTCGAGGACCGGGAAGCACGAAAAACGACAGAGAATAATGCGATCGCGTCTACGACCTTGAGGCGGACAGAAATTAACGGGGAGAGAGAGAAAGAGAGGGAGACAGGGTGCACGGCGGCTCCGTCTTCAAGGTGAACCCCGAGCAAGC